AACATCATTGCTGCTCACACGCTTGTTCCATGATATCCTTAGCATCCTTTTGTAGAACCACATCTCCGCTGCGTCGATTCTCTTCTTCATCTTTGAAGAGACTGCCCAATATTCGCTGCCGAATAGGATAGATGTCACATCGTAGTAGACTACACTTTTCTGTGTCACCAAAGGAATCCTCCTTTCTCGCAGTACTCTGCCCCGCTTTTGGAATGCGTCCTTAGCCATCCCAATCCGTTTTTGGATGACAGCGTCTCACCTACCGCCCTCCGTCAAAATACTTCCCAGATACTTAAACTGCTGCTTGATTCATGCTTGATTTTAGTGTCTCCGACTTGCAAATCGCATTTCGGCGTCATCCTTTGACTGATGACCTTGCATACTCTCTTCTTGTAATTCATGGTTAATCCTTTTTTCTTGCTCTCCTTCGCTACCTTCTCTAGGAGGTTTTGTAGTTAATTTTCCGTGCCCTATATCAGTACTGTGTCATCTTATATTGGTAAGATTATGGCCGCCAGTGATGAATCCCGGTTGGATCTCCAATTCTTTCCGAATTGTATAGGTTGAATGTCCAATAAGAAGACGCATTCTTGTCTTACGCCCCTTTCTATTTTTGTATGTTCACTGAATTCATTCACAATGCGCATGCATGCCGTTTGCTACCAGTATAGATTCTTGATTATTCTAAAATCATTCCCGAATACCTCAAGATTGTTGAGTAGTTCCAGTAGATACTTCTGGCGTACTTTGTCGAACGTCTTTAAAAGCCTATAAAACATAGATAAATGTCCTTCTACATTTATATTTCTCTTTCTGATAACATTCTAAGCATATATATTGCGTTCCTTTTTCCGGCGTTTTTGACGAACCCGCACTGTTCTTGTCCTATCTCTGACCCGATTCTGATGCGCGCTCCATTCATGAGAATATGGATGATGTTTACAAAACCTATTTCACGAAACGCACTGAACGGAGTAATTAATAAAATGTCAACAACTAAACGTCTATCAAGTAAATGGTTCAGTTTTCTATTCTCATTTGTGTCCTTTGCCCTTTTGGTAGCCATATCACTGCATGTTTATACGGCACTCTCCCCAGAAATATAATAACATTTCAGAATGTCTCTACCCGCCTTTTTACTTCATTTTCCTCTATTATTTTTTATTCTTTTCATCATTTTTCATTCTTATGGATTACACGACGAATAATGATTGTTAAATATGCCATTTTTATTTTTTTTATTCTTTTTCAGGCTACACATATTTATATATTTTAAATTCAGTCTGTGGAATCATGTGCAATAGCAAATATCTGAGAAATCTATAGATTAGCCTGAATAGAAGTATTTATTGGCATTTTTATCTCATAGTAAGTTTAGTATCCTGACCCCCAGAACACCGTATGATAATTGTTCATTCCATCAATGATCTTCGTAGAATTCATTTTCTACCATTTAATTCAACCTGGTCTGTTATTGTTGCGCCTACTAAGATAATTCACTGTATTAACTTATTAAACGAATGGCACTATCAAAAGTGACAGCTGACATTTTAGACTCAGTAGTGTTGATTATTTCTGTAGAAACCTTATTACATTTGATTGTATTAGACTTTTTCTCTGTCGCTTTTAGTAGGGATTCTATTTACATGTACCCTGAACAAATATAAACATGTGTTATAGCGTTTTGCCAGCCTCTTGAAATGTCCAGTTCTGGTTATAATTAGATCATGCGTTTTGGACATTTTTAAGGTAAAATCTGCTTAAGAATTTAGTTTTCATGAACAATCTCTAATTAATCTGCCGTGTGTAACTGACACATGACTTTATAGCCAAGTTAACACAATCCATCCTGATTCTGTCTTTTGTAGCATCAAGGTATTGTTACACGAATCAATACAATTTGGCATTAATATGCCTTTGATATCATTGAAATTCATTCAATACGCTCGTCAGCACAATTTCTCGTTATTTTTCTTTGTGTCACTCTCGACTCCAATGGCAGTATAGCAAGCAAAATATTTATTACTATATTTTGTGTGGCCTTCAAATTCTTCGCTAGTCGAATAATCACACACACTTGCACCTGTATTTTCTGTATTCATCAAGGCTCTTCAAACTTCACTGAACCTCAGTTTCATTCTACATTCTGTATCTAAGAAGTCATCGTTGTGCCGAGACAATGTCTGAAATTGTTAACTTTTGCTATCTTCAAAACCTCTACAGTTCAGTAAACACCACCGTTTATAACACCATCACTTGTGTAAACATTAGCTATTTTAACAGCCGAATCTGTCTCTCTTACTATATTTTATATTAGCGTCAACAAGAAATTCATTATTCCACCGTATATACTACGATAGACTAGTGAACAAAATACCTTATTACACTGTTTTATTTGGCCTTCGTACCCCTCGATATCTAATTAAACAGAAAACATTATTGGTTTGTCATGTGACACTCTCATCTCTTTTCGGCACTAAGTTGATCTCCCATTATTTTACGATCGGTTGCCTTCAAATCGTCTCAGAATCGAATCAGCCATACCTTCAACTTGTACATTTCGTTCGACTTTAATTTTTCCTTCACAGCATAAGCAGTTTTCCAATGTTCAGTTGAAAAACGACGCAAAATATATCCACGTGCATTCCGCTCTTGCATAAACTCGTTCTTTAAAATTTCTTCTGTCCATTGATCTTTCCAGAAACTTCCGTCTTCTGAATTTTGGGCACCTCGACGTGGTGTAATGGCAAGCAAGCTTGTCTCGCTATAGCAATTATGACTGAGTAGTGACTTTCATCCTCATTGGGTGCCTCGTAATTTAGGCCTTGTGCCACATCTAAGCTAAATTTAGAATACTACCATCTCCTTCTGAATTTGTCCTTCATCATTTTTTTGCTTTTTAATCGATTTGTCCTGACCTTTACTTTTCAATATCTTCCTGATTACATTAAATCCCTAAGGTTTATTGATATTTACTATTACGTAATAACATTTTTGCAAATTTCTTCATCCGAATCTCATTTGAACCTCAAAAAATCGCGTATGTTGGCATTAATATAACGCGTTTAAATTTATTTTTTGTAAATATCTCCACGCCGTAAACGTGCACGAATTAGTTTGAATATTTTCAATTAAATAATAAATTAACATCAAGCTTAAAAATGTCAGAAGAAATCCACTGCTCTACTTGCTCAGATGAATAGTAAAGGGAATAAAATGTCTTGAATTAAATCTCTTTTTAAGCTGACCTTAACTTTTTCTGGGGTTAGATTTCAGTAGCTTTTTTTTATTATTGCACTTCTTGTCAATTTTTACTGTTTTGACACTTTCGGATAAGACAATTTAACATTTCAAAATTCAGAGCTGATTGATTGGTTTCTCATTTCTTTTTCAATCTATCCATGAAACGCAGAATACCTGATTTATTTTTAAATGTTTTTGATTTTTTGTCAACAATATAAATAATAAAATATATTCTACTTGTTTATTAAGTTTCAATTATTATTATTATTATTATTATTATTATTATTATTATTATTATTATTATTATTATTCGGTACAATGCCTTACATGTTTATTACCCGAGAGCTATTGAAAGCATGTGTGTAAATATATGCATTCTGGTTGTACAAATGTTTGATCCCTTGTAAATAGGGGTTCCCATTTATCTTGATAATATTCTTGTCTGTACTTTTCTCATTTTTTGATCATCACTATCATCAACAATATGTCCATCACTATTATCAACAATATGATCATCACTATCCTCAACAACACCATCTTCATCTTTATATTTCTATTTATTTCTTTTAATCATTTTACCCAACCAAAACGGGAATGCCACTGGTACGCAGGGGTGGGGTACCAAGAATGAAGGTAGGAGAAAAAAAATGGGTACAAGTGGGTTTGAGGAAAAGATTAAAGATAAACGGGATTCCAGACGACAGAAGATGGCCTTTAATATTGCATTATCGGAATTATCAGGGAAGCAAGAAAATGGATAACAATTTTCAACAGTAAAAGAGCTGGATCTTGATGTCAATCTCGTAGCACACTTAACCTCATGTTGTCTTGGCACCAGGGACAAAATGCTCGTCAGAAAAAATTTCATGAAGATATTTTTACAAAAGAGAGAGAGAGTGAAGCCACGTCACGTCGGTGAGAAAGAGACTGAAGTCAAAATGCCAAATCAGAATCGATTGCAGATTCTTCTTTGGATGCCACGATAATTTCCATTCTTTATACTTTTTGCGTTGATATTAAAAACATCATTTCTCTGGGCGCCGTTATTACGTTTTGCTTTATTTGTGTAATAATAATATTGTTGTTGTCATTGTTATTATTATAATTTTTATTATTATTATTATTATTATTATTATTATTATTATTGCAGTGATGGTACACAATATTGTTGTTCAGATACACACGATGTTTTGTCTGTGTCGTTTTATTACATTTTCCTGGTAATTACTCGCAAATAGTCTTTGGTCTCGAACAGCCATCATAAATGTCAGTCTCTCTGTTTTTAGCCTTGTACTCTTCAGTTCATGATAGTTTTCGTATTTGTCTATATTCCCATTGTTACTTTTGAGTGCATTTTGATCATGTGTATGTTCCCAGGTGTTTTTAATTGTCTAACACTTGCGTCGTGACGTCCTATTTTTATAATTTTATTTTCATAATATATGCTTTATATTATTATTATTATTATTATTATTATTATTATTATTATTATATTTTTATTTTCTCTGATTTCTGGCGTTTACACATTTCTTTCCGGGTCCCGCCCAGGGACCTAAGTTTAGAAATGGCGCCATGACACTTTCCACTGACAAAAAAAATAAATAAATAAATAAATAAAAAAAAAAAAAAAATAAATTTATTATTATTATTATCATTATTATTATTATTATTATTATTATTATTCCACTACATAACTTACTCGAACGTTAATCCATAGTTTTGAGTTAAAATGTAATTTGCTGAGCATTCTCTACGTAATGCGTTCAGATGATTTTTGTCATCAACTGTACATGTTTGAATATTTTAATTCTCTTGTTTCATACTTAGTTTTACTCTCTTCTTCATTGTCATCATCTTCTTCCGCGGCTTCTTCTTCTACCTCCTCTTTTTCTTCCGCTTCATCTTCTTCCACCTCTTATTGTTGTTGTTGTTGTTGTTGTTGTTGTTCTTCTTCTTCTTCTTCTTCTTCTTCTTCTTCTTCTTCTTCTTCTTCTTCTTCTTCCCACCACTGTCCTTCTTTGTCATGTTGTTCTATCCTCATTCTATTTAACATTCCACCTCTTAGTTCTTTTGCTTTATTTAACATATTTTTTTTTTACATTTTTATCTTGCCGGCCTTATTATTTCAACACGTGTTCCTTCTTGATTCTTTCAATACCAGTTCCTACAACCGCTTCTTTCCCAACCAACCTCTCACTCTACTCCTCTCCAACACCTCTCTGTCCACCCACGCAATTGTATTTTCCCTCTTCTCGCTTTTATCCGTCATGTTTTGGCGCCAAGTGGAATTTTCTAGCGACTGCTGCTACTGCTATTTCTACAGCTGTCCTCAGACACACGGTCTTGTCAGAAATGCACGATGTTCGTTCGTTTCTCATCAGTTAACCTTGATCCTTGTTACATAACAAAAAAACCTGCCAAATGAAAACAATACGTAAAAGAAAAAGAAAAATGAATGTAGTTTTATTTTGTGTTTCTTTTGTTCTCTCTGAAATTATCATCATCAGCATCAACAACAATATGATCGCTGCTATCGACATTATAATCATCACTAACAACAATACAATTATTGTCACAATCAGCAACATCATTATCATCAATATCATTAAAACTGAGCATTATTATCACAAATAGTTTCTTCACTATCATAAACACTATGACCAACACTATCACCAACATTATTATCATTGATATTGTCAATAAGAAAATCAACACTGTTATCAACACTATGACTATTAACATCACCATCATTATCATCATCCACGTCATCAACACAGATATTATCATTATAATCAACAATATGATCACAATCACATCAACATTAATAGCATACTCATAAACGTTATGATAAACACTATCATCACTGTAATGTTCATCACTGTAACAACATTATTATAGTCATTAAATCAAAACAATATTATTAACACATATTTCATCAAAATCATCAACACTATAGTCGTGATTCCATTTATCGCGATAGATTCCATCTTAGTTATATATATATATATATATATATATATATATATATATATATATATTATATTGATTGTTAGTTTTGATATTACAAACGATATTTACAATTTTTTTTTATTATTGATATCTATTTATTTATTGTCATTTTGTTTGGGTTACAAAATAAATGGAAGGCAATTCCACTAATCCTATAAAAAGAGTACTTCATGTGTTGCAAATGGATGTTCTAACTAATGGGAACATTACAGATATTACCATTAGAGTATATTTTTCTCTTTCGTATCATGTTAAAGGTGACTATATTATAATACAAGTATATCCTGCTATTAATACTTATAATATTGGCTTCCCGCAGGGAATTTTGTGTTTTCTCATATTACTAATTATTCTGAAACTATTACGATTTTACTAAGAATTATAGTTAGTTTAGTTCTAGTTGAAGATATTCGTATTATAAATATTGCTACTAAAACTGTGTTGGTTTTTTTTTAACTCTTTCAGTGGTGACACATCTATTAATGATATAACTGTTGTACTGATGTCTTCTTCATACTAAAAGTAAGTAAATAAAAGTATATTTGTTTCTTCATTAGTAACATTCCGAATGTGAAGATGATAAGAAATGAGGAAAAACATTATCAAAGACGCGTTTCGCTGGAGAAAGCCTAGGCTTCCTTTGGTTTCTTCACTTTGAATAAAAGAAAGAGAAAACTCTGTGAGAAGAAAATATCTTGGTATTCCCGAGGATAAGTCTGTATCATAAATCAAATTAATTAACCAGGATTATCACCTCCTGATTTCAGACATGAAGAGAATCGTCACGACTCTAGGCTTGTTTGAAATATCTTTATGTGTATTAGACCTGTTTGGTGTTGTAGGATTTTAAATTTAGGACTTTTTATTATTTCATATTATATATATATATATATATATATATATATATATATATATATATATATGTGTGTGTGTGTGTGTGTGTTTATTTAAATCATTAAATGAGTATTTACTTAAATATTTGTATCTATAAAAAGAACGTATAAACATAAAAAATGTCTTAAAATAATTGTCGGACCTTGTCCATTTGATAATATGTGACGTCTTTTGTTTAGATTTGGATACGCATCGAGCAGATATGAATGTACGCGTGTAAATCATAGAGAATTGTAGTATAAAGTAAAAAGTAAAATCGACCTTGCTAAGCGAAACGCTCCTCTGTGAGTCAATCGGTAAAATCACGCCAGGCTATATGACGATTCCGTATAGGATACAGGTTCGATTCCAGTCGGTGAACGCATATTTTCTATGAAAATTTCTCGGAACTTCAGGCCGGTAAATATCATTAAGACTGTATATTATAAACAGAGCATTTACTTAAATATTCGTATCTATAAAGGGAAATTATATATATATATATATATATATATACACACGCACACACACACACATATATATATATATATAGAGTGCGGTGCATAATTATAATTTAAGCAATTGAACTAACTTTAAATATTTTGTATATTATTATAAAGTATTAATAATCTGAAAGTTTCAAATAATTACTATGTGTAGAAAATTAGTTATTGTAAAATTAATTAAAAAAAAATCGAAAAACGATTGGTCCATAATTATATGGCCATTAAAAAAAAGCCACTGCATGTTAAAATAATTTAAAACAGCTATCTCTTAAAATTTTATGAATTATTATTAAACACTCACCAGCATTTGCGCATGACAAAATTGTCATAAACTAGGCTTTCGGTACAAAATTAAGTGAAGTTGTAAAAGGTCAAATAATCGCACTCAAAAATGAAAATTTGAGTATTAGAGAAATTGATGTTATCATTAAGCGTTCAAAATGGGGTATTATCAATTTTTATGAAACACGAAAGAATATGGAGCGGGGAAAAGAGCCAGAAGAAGCAAGAAAGTAAGTGATGTCAGAGCGATCAAAATGTAGCAACCAATGCCGTCACATATGTTCCAAGATTCAGGCAACTCTGGAATTGGGTGTTTCACGCTGGACGGTTTGGAGAGAAATTAATATATCGTCTGTGTTCAGTTATGAAAAGCTTATGAGCGCTACATGTTTGCCCAAGCATCACATATCAGAGAGCTTCAATTGGGCACAGTGTCATGTGAGTTCGGACAAGCAATGGAATGGTATGGCATTTTCTGTTAAAAATATTTACTTTGGACGCTCCCGATAGGTTATCTTATTATTGACATGATTTTAGGAAAAGTCGGTGTTTTCCAAGCCTGTTCAAGGAGTAAGGAGTCTTATGATTTGTGCTGTATTCCTATTCAAAGGCAAAACTCCATTTGTTTTGTTCACAAAACTTGATGCATTGGGATATCAGAATGATTTGTCTACCGCTCTCTTGCCTTATAGAAAAAAATAAAAAATATAATTGAAATTGCGTGTTTCAGCAAGACACCGCTCCTGTTTCCAAAGCCAAGTAGACTGTAGAGTGGCTTCAAGCTAACCAAATTAATGTTATGGATTGGACCACCAGATCACAGGATCTCAATCCTATCGAAAACCTTTGCGGATATTGGTTAGAGGGGGATACAAGAATGGACATCAAATTAATACTAAGGAAGAGATCAAAATGAAATTTTGAATGCCTGCAATTCAATTAACCAAACCGACACTCAGAAGAAGTTAATCTATTCTATGAAACATAAAATGTTTGAAGTAATAGTCAATCACGGAAAACAAAGTAAATATTAATTTCTATAAGATTTTGTGTTTAATATGTTTAAAATAAAATATTTTAATAGTTTTATAATTATGCACCAATCGATTTTCGAGATATTGTATAATTTTACAAATGATTTTCTATTTATGCTAATTATTTGAAACTTTCAGATTATCAATGCTACATAATAATATACAAAATATATTAAAAAATATGCTTAATTGCAAAAGTCAAAAATAAGCTGGCCTTATAATTATGCACCGCACTCTATATGCATATATGTATGAATGTATATACACACACACACATATATATATATATATATATAGATAGATAGATAGATAGATAGATAGATAGATAGATAGATAGACACACACAGAGAGACACACACGCGCGCAGGCACATACACACACACACACACACACCTATATAAATTATTATTAATAGTAGTAAAAGTTTTCTCACAGCTGTTTGATGCTACATTCAGCATGCTGAATTCAGATTTTCATATACGGAGACTCCGCAAATTACTCCGTCCAATGATCCTGGGTTATCAGCAACTGACTGTTTATACTCCTCGATGAATACACCCAGACACACACACACACGCACGCACACATGCACACAAACACACGCACACACACGCGCGCACACACACAGACACACACACACACACACACACACACACACACACACACACATATATATATATATATATATATATATATATATATATATATATGAGAGCTACTTTTTAAATAGCGTGATGTTTACAATATGAAGAAATTTCCTAAAAGATCTGTGCCATTTATATTTCAGAGATTTCTTGCATTTTAAATGTTATTATTTGGTATCTGGTGTAATTATCATTCCTTCATCAGATTATTATCTTTATTCTTAATCTGATTGATTCGATGCGAGACTGTAACGTTTTTCGTTATCTTGATCAAAACTTTGCGATCTCAGTCAAAATGGAATCAGTTACGCTTGCTGACGGAAACTAATCGAAATATATATATATGAAGCACATCTTATCATTTATAAAGGAAAAAAGATGCTCAATAACCCCGTGTGGAATCAGATAAGTATTCGAGGAAGAAAAGATCGGATCATAGGATTGCTGAAGGAATTAGTGCATATACTAGCTTTCCGCAATAGGGCTAGCACAGATATAGATAACACATGGGACCCATTAAGTAGAAATTGATTAGAAATGACAGTGGCGGGAGCCACACCTGAGAGTAAAGCCTTCAGCATCAGTAAAAAAAGAGATCACGTGAAAGGTATCAAGTGTAGCAGTAGCACAAAAACTGAAGAAACATTAGAAAATGTTGGACGGTCTCCTCAAAGATGAAGACGCGAGGCGACGGAGATAGATGCGGATGCTGAGGATACCATCGACCCAGTCTCTGAGCATCGATGAAAGTCGTGGAGGGGCTGCAAACAAGGAGGAGCCTTATACTTAACTTCAGGAAGTGTCAACTGAAGTTTCTGGAAAACGTAATGAGAAAGGAATGCCTGGAAAATCTGATACTCACAGGTCAAATCGTGGGAAAAAGAAACAAGAGAAAGCAACGCATAACATACCTGGCAGGCTTTAGCAGGTGAATGACGGAACGTGATCTGGGGAAGTAGGTAGAGGGATGAAGCAATGAAAGCTAAAAAGTATAGGGAGAATTGGAAAGCCATGATCGCCTACGTCCTGGAAAGACATAACACATATGAAGAAAGAA